TTAAATTCAACGTTTTAGCTTTTTCATATTCCTTTACATGTCACTACATTTAAATAGGTTGACTTGGGACATTTTTTTCGTGGTTTTTGTATTAGACCCGTCGACCATTTATTTGTAAGTCAATGTCGAGAGATCATAGAGTGACGATGTGTGGCAAAGAAGTTAAAGTTCAACGTCGACCGACCACTTGGGGATACGAGAATTGAAAATGGTTTTCGATATCAAACTAAACTTATTTTTTTAACCGACTTCAAAAAAGGAGGAGGTTCTCAATTCAACTTTATGTTCCTTTTTTCTGTATGTATGTTACGCGATAACTCCGGTATTTGTGAACCGATTTTCATGATTATTTTTTTGTTGGAAAGGGGGTACTTCCATAGTGGTCCCATTTCATTTTGAAGAAAATCATTCACCTCGAAGGGTGGCTGTTCACGCATGAAGATTGATTTTCATAAATAGCGCCTAACATTAATTTAGGAGCAATTACTTTAATGGTTGATTTTGCTATTTCTCCAATTCAAGGCGTTTTTCTCTCTCGATATACTTTGAGTAGTGAGAACCGATTTTTATTATCTCCAGTGTCAAGTCCTGTATAGTGGCGAACTAGGGGATATTTCAATAAAACTTAGCAAATAGACGTAATTCCACGTACTTTTGAGATCGGTTTTTTTAGTACTCTGTACTGAGATTATTGTAATATCAAGCGACGGGACGAACAAGTCGTGCGCCTGATGGTAAGCTACACGCCTGTCCATAACAGTTGCAGTGCCACTCAGAGCTTTAAACTGCAAAGATCTGAGGGACGCTGCCACTGCGACTTTGCACGCGCGCCACTTTAGTTGGTTTCGGCTCATCTCGAAAGACCGATAGGCTCGATTGCTGCTTTGTTTTGAGATCGTAACTATAAATCCATGTTTCGTCACCTGTTACTATGTCCCACACCAAATTTGACGCCTCTTCGTTGAATCTGGTAAACATGGCATTGCACCAAGTGACGCGATCCGTTTTTTGAGCCTCAATCAAATTGTGGGATCCACCGAGAGCACAGCTTTTTCACACACAAATGTTTGTGTAGTATTGATTGTATTTGACTCATGCCTATGCCTAAAGAAGCCCGAATCTCATGGTATATCACATGCCTGTCTGTTTTGATCATACGGTGCACAGCATCGATGTTTTTGTTGTTCGCAGCAGTGGACGGGCGCCCATCACGAAATTCGTCACTTAGTTTCACACGACCGCGTTTGAATTTTGCAAACCAGCTATAAATAGTCGTCATGCATGGTGCTTCATTGCCAAAAGCAGTTTGAAGCCGAGCGAAGCTCCGCTGAGCTGTTACATTACACTTAAAGTGGTAGAAAATCATACTACGAAAATTTTCACGAGTTAAATCCATGGTGATGTAGACAACCAATTTCTAAAATGACACTACAATGTAAAAACAAGTAACAGTCGGATAAAACAAACGATATTCTACAGCCAAAGAGTTCCATTTTGAAATGTTGTAATTTCTTTTTAAATATTGTTTATGTAAGTGGCCAGTTCTTGGCCAACTTGGAAACTTGTAGTGCGCCCTATGTATTTATAGTATTTTGGGGACAGCGGAACACAAACTCACAAGCGAGACATATGGTCACGTTAATTATACGTAAATGTAATTAATGTTTCCTTTTCATAGGTGGATAAAACAATATCAAGACGAATATGAACACTTGAAGCAAGAGGTCAGCAACGTGAAAAATATTATGATGCAGTTCCCCGAGGGTTGCTACAGGGGGGTCCGGCTGGAGATACAGGTAAACGACCACGACTATAATTCTCACTTTACTATCCGCACGCGAATTCATGAATCATGAACGGGGTTCTTACTACACAACCTACACACGAAGACTTCACACCTCTTTTTAATTAACCAACTCAAAAACAAGGCCGTTATACGTTCGAACATACAGTCGACTGTATGTATGTTTTATGTGTGCTTTCCGATTTCTCCGTCAATTCTGGACCGATTTTGAAAATTATTTTTTTATATGAAAGGATGCACTCTCGTGGTGATCCCATTGTCACCAAGTCAAAATCTGATGAGGGGATCCCATGGAAATCTAAACTTTTCAGGTCGGTTTTTTTTCAATGAAATAGTAACAATTATATTAAACGCGTTCGTACAATCATCGTTAATTTTAATTACATTCGACATATCATCGGCATAGCGCAATTACAGGTAACTAGTTTCCATTTTGCGTAATGTAGTGGCCAAATCAACTCGTAAATGTAGTCGCAACCAAATTAGCGTGATTTACGGGAATCTATTGTTATCAGTCCATAAAGAACACAAATCAATGATTACTGTGCAAAAGTTTAAGTCGAAGTCATTGAAATAACGAAATAATAATATTAAATCTCTCTCATGTAAAATTTTGTGTAGTGTAGACGATTCCTCTTTTCTTGACTCAAAGAACCATTATTTTCTTTTCTCTGCTCGAAGAACCATTATTGTAGCTCGCTGGCTTAAATAAAACCACGTTAAACTTAAATTAACTGCATTTTTTAATTACGACAAATATTTATTACACGAACATAATGTTTTGTTTTGTTTTCATTATTTATTTCATGACCATGCAAGTCCTTCGGTCGAAATATTAGAGATAATAAAATAAACATAGAAACAAGAAAATAATTTAAAAAAAGTCAGAACTAGTACTAAAACACTACACGATAAGGGTTGTCAGTGTTGCCATAACTGACCATATGTATATGTGTATCATACACGCGCCTTTTATCAATCCTGCTTACCGGATTTGCATTATCCCCCACGATGTCCATTACTTTACATCGCAAAACTACTGCAACTCTTTCTATAGACTAGATATGACTCGTTTGAATAATTCATGGACTCGCATGCGAATCATATCTGCTACTTTATTTATTTATTTATTATTATTAGGCGCATCAACATCATATGTATTTGACAATCAACAAAAATTTGACGTGAGGCTAGGACTGATACATATGACAATTACAGCGTACAAACATTCGCTATACACTGCACTATACATATCGCACTGCTATTACAATAGTGTTGTAACTCAAAATATGTGAAATTCAAAATTATAGTATAGTTGAACGTAAAATTTGTAAATATATTTTTTACATAAATTGAAAGTTAAAAAAAAAACAAAAGCGAAAACAAAAGCAATAGATTAATACACATTTAAATACACGTACAACATTATATTCTATAATATTGGTTAATATATTTTTTACATAAATTGAAAGTTAAAAAAAAACAAAAGCGAAAACAAAAACAAAAACAATAGATTAATACACATTTAAATACACATACAACATTCTATTCTATAATACTGCTAATGTTAATTTTATTATTATTTAAAATGCGATGTTTAGCTTGTTCCTAAATAGTGACAAAGGGTCAGCAAACATATCTTCATCACAAGTACTTCTCAAATCATTGTACCGTACTGTAACATTATACACTTGCAACACTAAGTTAAGTTATTTATCGTACGCACATACTATCAAGCTAATTCCGTTGTTTTTCCACCCATGAACAGGTACCAGCTCAGACAGAAGACAGATCAGAAGATCACAGGGAATCGCAATAAAGCCGGCAAAAATAAGTTTTATATCCATGTGACATGAATGAAAAGTCTGGTGCAATATCTTTGGCGCTATTATAAAAAAATAAAAAATAAAATATTATTACATGGATATAAACGTTTTTCTCGGCACTAGTCGTTTCCGTGTTAATAAGTGTGATGATTTCCTAATTTAAACATCATCATCGTCAACCTGCCATGAAGAACTTTACCAATAGCCATGTTGCTTCTAACACTTTGAACATGTCACTTTTCTTCATATAAAATGTAACGGATAGTCGAAAATTAATAAGTTTTTATAGTTAGCGTATATAATGTGTTTGTTCGTAAATAGTGTTTGGTAATTGGAAAATTTTCAAGCTTGTGAAAGCTTTTTAAAGTATTTTTTGATTTTAATGAAAATTTTTAATATTTATCAAATTTTCTATATGGATTTTTTTCCCATGATCCAACACTATACACGAAAGGTTGAAACAATTATTGATCAATACAGTAAGAGTATTTTGTGTGTTTACGTTCTAGTGCCTTACCTAAAGTGTCTTCATATGTGCCTTTTTTAAACGTAATAATTATTGAATTCGTACATACGGCAGTTACTTATTGGGATATACACTTGTATTGTGTTTATACTGAAGTCAATGAGACAAATCGTTTGAAGGATGAAACACGATTACTACACGGTTTTGAGAGACAGGTCCGAGGGTGCGCTCCCACGTGCCGTGACGTCAAACGTGCCGATTTGCAGTGCGACGTGAGTGCCGAGAGCCGTCCGCGTAGCACAATTGTGGGCATTAAGGCTCACACAAATGAACAGCTTCAATGTTATATGCGTGTAGGCTGTTAACAGACTATTAATGGAAGTCCTGAGGCCGACTTCAACTGAATTAAGATGGCGAGCTAACCACCTTTCTTCGAATTTACACAACGAAGTTTGTCCAAATTTGAGAAATCAAATTAAATTTTGAGTTTACTTCGTAATTTTTTCCTTAAACTTAGGTTTTGTAAGTAGGACAAACTTGCTTAGCGCTCCATTTTCACTCAGTTAAAGTGTCATAAATTTGTTTTATAAATATCAACCCTAATGACATTCATTAATTACGGAAAAGGGCAATGTCCAAGTTCTTACAGTCCTGGATCTGTAAAAAACAAGTTGACAACAGTCAATTGCAGATAGAGGATTTCATTGGTATTTTTTAATTACGCTGGATTTATATATTTTTTTTGTTAATAATAATATAAGCAACGGTTTTTTTTTTGAGGTTATGTATACAGTACAGAGTTACATATTATTCTACGGTAGTAACACTTAGATTCAATACGACTGACGAATATATAAAATCAAAATTCTTTTCTCCAACTTATTTCAAAGTTTTATGAGTGAGACTAATATTGTTCGATAAAGCACTTTAAGATGAGTAAGTATACATTTTCAACCGGTCGCGACAATGATCTTATATAAGATCAATGGGTCACGACTACAAAATTTTCGAGTTCAAAATGGGCATTGTTCTTTAGACAAGCTTCAAATGATGTAGGTATTACAGATACGTCCATGTATTAATATTAATATCTGCACTTGAGATGAATAGTTTAGGGCAGTTATGCGCGATGGCATTGCGCTACTTCGATTTCATAGGCAGTTGCATCGATGAAGTCGCTTATATTGAATAATTAAAAACGCATTGAAAGGTAGACGACTAGCTACAGCAACGCGACAGAATCGCTGCAGGTGTGTTAGTAAACGTCACAGTATGTAACCGGACTTAAGTAAGGCCCTTTAAAATTACAAAACAACATCGGCTCGCGTGTTCAAAGCGTTTGTTTCCTAGTGAGCGTGTTTCCCTTCATTAAAACACTGTCCATTGTACTTCTTAAACTACAAACACGTATCTCCATACTGCATTTAATATATGCATTTTTTACTTAGATTGTACGTTAGAAATGTTTTTTAATTAGTAATGAAGACTTTTGAACTGTAAATTTTTAGAGGCTTTTTCCCGGCGTGACTGTGTCGTAGACAGTAAAATAGAACAGTGCCATATTTTCGTTGGTGCATTTTGTAAATATCTTAAGTAAATAAGTACGAACAATAAATTAGTTAAACATTTAAATGAGTATCTAATATAAATACAATTTTTTTAGTGTGTATTCTACTACGAAATGAATTTTGGTTTGAAAATTATTTCTATGAGCAGTTGGCCAAAGAAAATAGCAACACTAAATAACTAAATGTTAATTAAGAGAGAAATTTGTGAGTATACATAATTTTTATTTAGATTATTTATTTGTAATAAAATCCATAGATAAAATTGTTGTTTTCATTTACCACTCATACCTTTTTAAGTCGAATTTACTAGTTAAGAAATGTATTCTTAGCCTAAACCTAATTCCGCCAGTGATACGCCTTCACGAACGTCGTTGGTAGGCCGGACTTGAGTATGGACTCGCCGGGGTTTGTGGTTAGCTGCAGAGTTGGGCATGTTCGTCTAGCCCTTAGTAATATGGTCTAAGGCGAGGAGACGCGCGGGGCACGTGATTTGCCCTTTAAGTTGGAAGCTATGTCCGGACATTTTCACACGACACTACGACCAACATTCCAGTACTAGCCCGGAGAGCTAGTAAATGAATAGCTAGACATTCGTCGGTTCCTCCACACGCGTAGGTTTTTGGGCACTGGAAAGATGCTTCGGCGTCGGGAAGAAAGCATGCCTACAACTCCGCCACCTAGTGGTGGCAACCGTTATGTAGTTGTGTAATACACAATGGGAAGTGAGCGTGCCTCCGTATCTATGTCTCCGGCATTGAATTATATGGACGTCGGGTCCGAGCTAAAAAGTGTCCGAACTTATAGGGCGTTAAAATCGTATACAAAGCGCCATTCACGCTTTAGTCTTCGTTTGTTCGACTGACAGCGAAGCAAACAAAATTAGACAGTACTGCGATGACATTAGAATTTAAATTCAATGTTTTAGCTTTTTCATATTCCTTTACATGTCACTACGTTTAAATAGGTTGACTTGGGACATTTTTTTCGTGATTTTTGTATGGGTCTAATACATGTCGTCCATTTATTTGTAAGTCAATGGTTTCCGGTATCTATCTGGAATACCCTATACTTCCTTCTCGTTTACCCTACCTACCTTCTCTTCTCGTATACCCTAAGGGGCGAGAGGGGGGGGGGGGGTCACTATAATCGAAAGGAAGGCAAACGCGTCCATACCAGTGCACGAATCAATTATCTAGCAAATATGGGTTGAAATCACTAAAATCACAGACCTAAGGGTGTCGTCTTTACCCATGAGCCTCACGCATTACATAACGTTGACCTCACGCTATAAATATTCAAAGTTTCACTTCTAGCATCATGATATTTCAATACATATGTATAAACTACTTTTCGTTGTTTGGTTTATATACTCTCCTACTCTCTTCTCTGTCTCTCGCGCCTTTCAATACTCAATACTCAATATATTTATTGCATTCATATGGTATACATGTCTTAAATTTAAAATAATACTACAATATGAGCCCTTTATTAGGGATAGCAATAATAGCAGAGGTAGGCCGAGGTTTCAATTATTAATTAAAATTGTTATTTATGAAATAATAATTTAAAAAAAAAATGTCATATAATAATAAAGAAATACGTCATATTATGAGTAGAATTATGTCACTTGAAAGTTTGAATTTAATTAGATTATAGTAGCATAATTTTATAGTATATAATTAACATTTATTTATTATTCAAATTTATTATAATATTATTATTTTTATTTGTCATCAAAGTATTCATTTAAATTGTAATAGCGTTTATTAATAAGATGTAATTTTAATTTATTTAGAAACAGTGAATACTTTTCCTCGTTTTTAATAATGGGCAGGAGCTCATTGAATATCCTCACCGACATCGAGCTGTCTATGTGTAGCCGAGATCGTGACAGAAGCAATCTATTGCGTGGTCTAAAAGTGTATCGTTGAGGCAGGTCGTCAGTGTTAGTGTAAAAGTCAGGCTGTTGTTTAGTAAATTTACAAATTTCTAAAATATATATAGAACACAAAGTCAAAATTATAAATTGTTTAAAGTGCGGTCTGCAACTATCCGTACTACTCAAATTGCCAAGAATACGGCTGCATCTTTTCTGGATTGTAAATATTTCTCGTGCGTGCACACACTTTCCCTTGTATTGCGTGCCCGACGGCAACGGGGTCCTTATTATTGGTCTTTTCTTTGTTATTAAAATCTTATTGTATACATTATGGTATTACAATAGAATGTTGAATATTGATTAATATTCCTACCTATTCAGTAGTTCCAGTTTAGCACATGTCGTTTTCGTATTAGTTCAATTGAACTAGGCTGATGGGATAGTTCACAATAGTATGTATAATTAGGAATAATTCCTATATTAAATGAGAGTTTCATTGTCGGAATAGTATCAAACAACCGGCCGGCACAATTTTGTGCGCTATTCTAATTGGCTTAGGAGACGGACAATCATGCAGCTTCAACCTCAGCGAATTATTATCTACATACTGCAGTTGATCTCTCCAAAGCTTAATTTAAATGGCTCGCAGCCGTAGCGTGGTCCATATCGCGCGCGAAGCGACTTAGGGTCGGGGAGGGAGGGGGACGGTATGGAAACGTGATGCGGCGCGTTTGTAACGATAAATGTACGTTCAGTGACGAGAAGATAACGTGCTGGTGCTAAATGTAATATATCTTCTTCGAATGAAGAATTAGCAATGATTGTGATTCCCTTACATGAAGAATTTAGTAGCAGTAGAGCTTCTTGTGATAGAGGAAGCACTGCCACCTTATACATTTCCGGTTCCGGTTTGGAAGGGTAAAGATAAATGGTAAAATTACAGGCATACGGGTCTTGTGAACTTGTGTCTCTGGGTGACGGGCCCAGTGGCAGCGCTCCTAAGATCTTTGCGACTTAAAGCTGTGAGTGACACTGCAACTGTTAAGGACAGGCGTGACGCTTACCACCAGGCGCACGACTTGTTCGTCCCGTCAGTTAGTATTATTAAAAAAAAAAACAAAAAGAAAAGGCACTTAATTACAAGGAAAGGTGGTCGTCGAGTGCTATGTGGCAAAAAAAAAGATGGCGAATATTATAATCTTTATAAGCAGCTTATTGACGATGAAAGAATTTTATACTTATAACCGAATTACAAAACATAGTAAGTTTATCAAAAATAAACTTTTGTTGCACTATCTAATTTTAGTATTTTTTGTAGTAAGTTCAAATAAGTTTCCCTCCAATAACCCCCACGCTGCTCCTGCGTTTTGCATCTTACTGGCATTTACGATAGCGCTTTCTTTTATTACCGCACAGAATTATCACCATGTAGAGAGATCTAATTTAAATATCTTCATGTCTGTGCGAAAGTAAAATCCGATGAATTGTTAAAAGTCATGGAACAAAAGTTAGTGTTTCTTGTGTTAGAAATTTAGTCCTGAGAGGTTGTTCGTACTTTAGTACCCTGTACTCTGGCACCACACACGAGCTACACAGATTGTACATGATATTGTAGTGTATGATCTTGTAGCTTTCCTCGACACCGCAACAGCTCTAATGCAGTGCGGCATAGATCTTACTAAACAGCGGTTTGAATAGGGCTTTCATCCCGAGAATGTAACCTTCGCCGATTCTTGTGGCATTTTCGACTGATGTTCCCAGTCTCGGGAATTTCTTATTTATTTATTTATTTATTTAATAGTTTATTATACAGGAAAAATACAAGTCACAAAGAATACAAGCGAAATTAAAAACAAAAGGTTCTGCTTATTTCTAATAGAAATTTCTTCCTGCAGACCTAAATACAGGACACGATAACTAAAAGAACGGGCATATGTGCACAACAAAACAAGGAAAAAAATAAATAAAAATAATATAAAAATATTAAATTGTTATAAATTATATAAATACTTAGATAAATACATATTTTATAATATAATACCTAAGATATGGATGGAATAGTAGATAAATAATGCTCTTTAACTGTCACTTTAAAAATAGCTAACGATTTACTTTCGTGAACAGTAATAAGAACTGCATTCCAAAGTCTGACCGCATGAACAGTGAAGGAATGAGAATAGAAACCGGAATTGAAGCATGGAAAAGATAACTGGGAGCTAACAAGAGAGCTAAGGGACCTAAGGAAGCTGAAACGCTCTTTCAGGTACCCGGGAGACACAGGGTTATGTAAAATATTGTAAAGAATGGACACAATATGCAAATTCCTGCGGAGACGGATGGGAAGCCATTTGAGCTGACTGCGGAAATGTGAAATTCGGTCATATTTACGAAGCCCAAAGATGAACCTTATACATAGGTTTTGCAGTCGTTCAAGCTTATTTAGCATTTTCTTTTTTATAATACGAAGGACAGGGCCCAACAAGTCGTGCGCATCGTGGTAAGCGACACGCCTGATGGAAGTTCCCGTGGCACTCAGAGCTTTAAATCATAAAGATCTGATGGGACATAAATTGACACATTCCATACGTGCCTGTAATTTAACCTGCGCCTTTACTCCGCAAAACCGAAACGCAGTAAATGCTCTTATTACTGCTTGGCGGCAGAAATAGATGAGAGGCTTAAGTCAATTAAACATATTAACGTATTAAAAAATCTACTAAACTTCAAGTTATTTTTATTTTGATCACATGGAAATGGCAACACTGCAGAATAGAGGTTATTATAATCTGGAAAAATTGAAGAACAATAGTATTAAAATCAGGTTCTCTCTATCCCATGCTAGTATTTAAAAAAAAGAGAAAGTTATTTATTAAATTATTGCTTCTATATTCTGAGTTTAGTTTAGTCGATTAAAATCCCATATTTTACTGTGACCGTGGGACCAAAGGGTTTGTTCGAAAAAGAAAAAGAAATATAATTATGTGATTTAGATCAGAAAAAATAGTTTCATTTCCTGTGGAATGTACGAGAGTACGAACTCCAACCACCGAGTCTCGATTTTTTTCTCGGGACGATGAAGAGTTACGAGACTGACACCCTGTTGTGGATATTTTGCTATCTAGGTTGCTTTACTGAAATTGCTGTTGTTACGAGGAGACAAATGAATTAAATAAAAGAGGTAAATATGAAAAATGTATAAAGCTATATATTCACAACCATTTTAGAACACAAGCGTACGTGTTTTTTGTGCACAAACTTGAAACAAAATTGTGAGGTGACAATTCTTGTGTAATGAATGGTAAACACGGATATTAATTATTAATAAACTTTACTACTCATACATAGAAATTGCGAGGGCAGAAATTAGATAAGTTATTCTACGAGGAGGACTCATCGACTTTTTAAAAATGTGACAATTTATTATAGGAAAACTAATAATATTCTATGGACGCACATATTCACATAATCTCGCGTTGCATAACATTCTAGTCGTCCCGACCAGGGGTCCCAACGCACATTTCATTATTATGCGAATGTGTGCGTCCGTAAAAGGAGCGCGTTGAGCACACATACGAACCGCGCTTATACTTTGTACGGAGTTACCTTAAATCTCTTATTTTACAATGTTTCGTGTGTCATTTCTCACGTTGCATGTGTGTTTCTTTCCTACCCTCGTAATTTTTTACTTAATACGTTTTAGAAAAATCCACGGACCTATTAAGTAATACATAAAAATAATTACTCATCTGCCATAACCGAATTTCCATATTTAACACTCTCAGCGCCATATGGGCCGCCGGTCGCCCTCAAAAACCCAAGAGCAGCAAGACACTATGTATTTTCGAATTTTATGTAACAGATCATGTGGGCCGCCTGCCGCCACCTAAACTCAAATGCAGCAGACCACCATGTATTTTTGAATTTTATCTAGCAGGCCATGTGGGCCGCCGCCGTACCACAGTTAGGAATTAAAATTTATTTTCGATTTTTCTAGTCCTGACCAGTCAACGGTTGCATGTATATTGTCGGCAAGCCGTGCCAATACTTTGGCTCTTCTGCTAACAACTGATCCAGATCGTAATAAAGTATTAATTTCGCCCCTAATGGTAACATCCGTCTGTTTTTGGTGGAATCACAGCGGAACGCAGTGCCTGCTGGTAAAGTTTGAAGGTGTCCCGCCGGCAGCCCACATGGCCTGCTACAAAAGCTACTCGAGATCAGGCGTGCCTTGCTGTGTAAAAAAAATGCATGTCCCGCCGGCAGCCCACATGGCCCACATGTTTCATTACTGTTAAGCATTGACTTACAAATAAATGGACGACGGGTTTAATACAAAAACCACGAAAAAAATATCCCAAGTCAACCTATTTAAACAGTGACATGTCAAGGAGTATGAAAAAGCTAAAACGTTGAATTTAAATTGTAATGTCATCGCAGTACTGTCTAATTTTGCTTGCTTCGCTGTCAGTCGAACAAACGAAGACTGAAGCGTGAATGACGCTCTGTATACGATTTTAACGCCCTATAAGTTCGGACACTTTTTAGCGCAGACCCGACATCCATATAATTGTAAGTCAATGCTGTTAAGTGATATTTAAATTCATCGTATATACATTTTTGTTTTTCAAATCAGACGTATGATTTGTTTCGGTTATATAGATTAACAAAGTGAATTTATTTATGTTTATATACTAGTTACAATTTTTAAGCATTGATTTTGTTTGCTCACACTTGTACCAACACACAACAGATCTCTTTCATAATTAACGGACAATGTTTCCTTCAGATGATAATTTATAATATATCGATTTTTATTAACTATCTAATGACAAAATGAATGTGCGTACTCACTAGTGCTAATTTGTCTCTTATAGAAATGGAGAAACATGACGACACTTTTAATAGTCCAGACGAAATCGAGATAAGCGTAAAGCTCAGGCCACACAGGCGCGGTATTGCAGGAAAAGCAAGTTTAAGGCCGGACCTGCGGGGAGGAAATGCGTACCGGGGCGTGCTACATAGCAGTCCCAAGCTGAGTTTGCAGCAGGACAGCGGCGAGAAGGCGGTCGGTGTGACTACAGAAGCAGCCACGTTTCACGGATTTTAAAGAAAGCACCGTATCGCTATTGGATATTTTGTTAGCGTTACGGAAGCAACGCAAAAAAATCGGTCTAATTCATATTGAAACTTAATAAAAACAAGAGTTGTAAAAAATACAACGTGCAATCCGGACCGCGACCTGCGCTTGCCACTCTGTGTGGACGGTTACATAGAACTCAATAGAATACAGCTTTGAGCCCGCCCCGCGTTCGCCCCGGATCCGGCCCGCGCCTGCTTGCCACAACGTTCGGCCCCGGCCCGCGTCGCCACGCGACCCGGTTTCAATGTGGCAAGGTGAATAAGAGCACGAACATTACAAAAATTCCCCAGAAAAGCCCCACTACCACCTCTATGTGGCCAGAGCATAAGACTTGCACGTTTTTTTCTATATAAATCTAGAGCATAATGATCGTATAGCCGCGCAATTGATATCGTATAATCATAAGATTTTGCACGGAAATTTAGTTTATTTATTATTTAAAAAAAAGGGGTTGTTATAGATTTAAGCTGTCACCTCCTTAAACATAACTACTGGATAGCTACCTACTTATGGAATATTGCGCGTAAGCACAGGATAAACATTCACATATTATATATAACCCGTAGAGGTTCGAGAGATCTCGATCCGATGCGCTTCCTCGAATTGCAGGAACTCGTAATCGGAAACCAGCGTAGATTACTCACCCCGATCACGTAACAAATTGGTCGGTAGGTAGATGGCGTGCCTCTCGTTTCTTGCAGTATTATATCGTATTTTATCGTTTGCCGTTACTAAACTTCTACGGGTTATAGTTAGTGAAATGTGGTATGGTAAATTCTCTTGCTACGTTGCATATTTTGAAGGAAAAATGGACCCGCCTTACATGACAATGAAAATAATTACGCGAAAAAAATTACGATTCGAAAATGTATATATAAGGATTGTCCTCTACTAAAGCGATGTCTTTTTCAAGCTGCTTCAATTCTTGTTCAAGTTTAACTTTTTTATTAATTTTTGGAATTGTATCAGTCAGCATGGGAAGCTGCAGGAAGGACTTTTGCAGTAATTGCCAGTTGGTTTTCAGGTCCTGGAAAACATATGCAAATTATGCATGCAACTTTACAACGATCCTAAAGTGTACATTATGTGCGCACTACGTTCGGTTCGTATTAGTTCCGAATCTGAGACTATACAACTAGAAAACTCTGACCCAATTCGGAAGCACTTGTGCACTAAATCCGAGATAAGACGAATATCGCTTTAAAAGTAAATGATCCTTGTCACATTTCGGACCATCATGTCTCGGATTCGGCTGTTACGAATCGGGCGTTGTGCGCCAACTTTAAGAGTGCATTCCCACGGCCTGTGATGACAAAATAGTCGATTTGAACGTGCGGGCTTCTGAAACGAAGGAGTCCGAGCGGCCTCCGGCCGACTGTCGTGTGTGGGGGCGCGTATCCAACCGACCAGCGAGTAGAGTTGGGCGTTTAAACGAAAAGCCTTAAAAAGTCTGCTTTTAAAAATAAGCGCATAAGCACGCTTTTCATTTTAAGCGTAAGCGTTGGTCAATGGTCGCGCCATCTATGTTGCCTAAACAAATTAATTCCACATAACATTGCAAGCTTTTTTAAACATAAAGTCTATGCGCTTAATCGTTTTTCTAAACGACTTTTTAAGCGTTAAACTAAAAATCGTTTAAGTGAAAAGCGCTTTTACAATCACGCTTTTTAAACGTACGTTTTAACGTTAAAAAATAAGCAGTTTTTTCCATTTCAACGGTTAACAACTACAAAAGTTAAACAACTTATGTTTTTGAACACTTTTAAACGCCAAGGAACAAAATGTTAATTATAATAATGTTATGTCATAAATAAAAATAAAACTTGTTTTTTACAAAAAAACTTATCTAAAACCTTTAGTGGTCTACTCTTGCTTTTCGCTATCAACACAATGTTGCAAGCTTTTTTTAACATAAAATTGCTTAAACGTTTTCTAAACGGTTTTGTTAGCTTCAAACTAAAAAGCTTTTAAGAAAAGCACGGTAGTTTAAAAAAGCATAACGCCTAAACGTTTAAAAAATAAGCAGTTTTTCCCATCTTTACCAGCGAGCGGCGGATCTGAACAGGCCACTATGGCAGCGCATTTGCGCGAAACGCGCGATGCGGGCCGCGAACCGGGCCACGGGCCGTGGGATTCCGCCTTTACAGCTTTCGAACAGTTTTCATTGACTTAAGTACTTCGCCAGTGGAGGTCAATGATAGGTTTAGGATTTTTTCTGACACAGTTCGAAAATATATGTACATAATAGAACAAAGCTCATATTTTAAGTGAATAACTGAAATTTAACTCGTATCTTTGGGCACTAACAACACCGATGCTCATATAATCGAATCCTATAATTCCTAATACCTCTGCCCCGAACTGTCAGCGAAATAATTACGTACCATTATTAATTTCAAAAATAATATTTTATAAATTTTTCCAGAAAATAGTATAATAGTAGTAATACTGGCCCTGATTTGGCATAGACGTAGGTTCGAGTACTAACAGGTCCAAGGAATCATACTTTGTGTTCAATATTTGTATTAATTATAACCATCGAATACATAACCAGAAATAGAGACGAAATGTCATTTGATTTGTTTGAAAACTATTCTGCCATGTCATTACGGTGACAACTGGCCTCCGATTGGCCGGCCCGAATTCGAAACAATTGACGGGTGTCCTCAATAGTTTCACTTCAAATAGACCAGTTTAACTTGAGCTTTGCTATAATGGACGAAAATTGAAAAATTACGCACTTCATTACCGATGAAATGCGATTCCGTTCGTTTTGTAATTATATATTTTGCTGTTTTTCCCACACCGCCGAATGTAACAGCCCCCATAGTTAGATATATTATCTTTATTATAATAAATACAGAATATTTTTGGAATATACGGAGACAGCTATTTCAGCTTTCTAGTTTGTGATTTCAGTGCAAACGAGAGTTGATATTTAAAAGTGATATAAAGCCCATTAGCCTGATGACTTGCCAGGGATAATGGCCCTTATTTCGTCTCTATTTCTGGTTACATACTCGACGATTTAACAAACTAGCGTAGTAATTTCACAAAAAAAAAATCTATCATCATGAATATTCTTTATTGCACCATAAAATATTCAAAGAAATATAAATTATCGAGAAGGTGAGCATAGGTGGAGTTATTTATAACAGATCTCTTCCAGCGAACCCAAGGCAATGAGAACAAAGGTGTATGACCTTTGTTCTCATTGCCTTGGGTTCGCGGGCAATAGTGCGCAAACGAGATAGAGGGAGAAATATAATAAACTTAGCAGATGTAAGAGTATATATTGAAAAAAATCATCATAATATTCAATAAAAATCAATAAACTCACTGTCAATAGCTTCTGTCTTTCCTCCTGGCTAATAAGCTTGCACAGACTCTCTCTGTTTTCTTCTGCGGTTCTAATGCGCTCCCTTTCTTTGTAGATCCGTCTGTTTCTTCTCACCAGATACGCCGGCATCTGCCCGAAATCAGGACGTAGGCAGTATTCTGGCACTTCGCCAGATCCTTTGATCTTCTTTATATGCCCGTCCCTTGTGTCCACTAGTCTGTAGGATTTTTTAAAATTATGTATTAATAATAATAATAAATAGAATAATGTGCCAAACAACCACACCAATTGCCTGGTCTCAAACTAGGGAATTCCCGGTACTACGCGTACCAGAGCAATGGAATTCACTCTGTGGCACTTCGCAGAACAACCAGACCAGAACCAATTTAAAAAAGTTGAATTCCTAATTTGGTCCTACCGGGAATCGAACCCGGGACCCAGAGCCCACAGTATAAGCCATTGGGCTATCGAGGTCGTCAAATTTATTCTGTATTAAGCAATTTATGGATCCTAAAGACTTGGAAGATTTAATAACTTATTTTCTGGCAAAAAACTACATCGTACAAACTGTGCTTAGACATAGATATTGCAAAATTTAATGTCTGAATACTAGTCTAAGTCCAATTTGCTTGTAATTATAGTATATGTAGGCATATGGAAAATGTATGAAAATGTTATGTTATGAAATGGACAAGTCTTTTAATTCAACCAAATATCTACGACTTCAAATTCAGCCGTTAAGTGGCCAGCTCGATCGAGTAATTTAACACCGCTAGATTATATTTTATGGGGTTATGTTAAAGACAGAGTCTGTACGGGGCCAATCGAATCGATTGCAGCCTTAAAACTCAAAATTCGTGAAATGACAACGAAATAGATTTAGAAATATAAAGAAATAGCATTGACTTACAATTATATGGACGTCGGGTCCGCGCTAAAAAGTGTCCGAACTTATAGGGCGTTAAAATCGTATACAGAGCGTAATTCACGCTTTAGTCTTCGTTTGTTTGACTGACAGCGAAGCAAGCAAAATTAGACAGTACTGCGATGACATTACAATTTAAATTCAACGTTTTAGCTTTTTCATATTCCTTTACATGTCACTACGTTTAAATAGGTTGACTTAAGACATTTTTTTCGTGGTTTTTGTATTAGACCCGTTGTCCATTTATTTGTAAGTCAATGAGAAATAGACACCATTTTGTCAAAAAGTGATTAAAAACTTTAATGAAAGAATCGACATCTGTAACTGTGGTCATGGTGGACATTTATCAGATATCATTTTTCATTCATAATTGCCAAACGTCACTTTTTTAATACAATAAAAATTTTAATCGTTGTCATCTATATTTATTGTTTTATTTTGATTCACAAACCAAAGTTCTTGTTGAAAAGCCCTTTATTTAGTTGTGAATAGTTGTGCCTTCCATGTCGGGCGGTAATCGATTTTAACAAATTTTATCAAAATAAAAACCCGGATGATGTCATTCTCTGGGCGTGAAGTACATGTTTGTACTTGTACTGTGAAAAAAAACTGGAATGCTAACCTGGGCTGAACAGGCCTCCCTTTCTCTTTGATAGCCTTCCTTATGTTCACTACCTTGAAGTTGACTTTAGGTCTTTCAGGTTCCTTTGACCCTGGTGGTGGTCGCTTCGGCACCGGGGGTAGATTACCAGATACAAAGCATTTGTGGTCACTAGTCTTTATCGGCTGCCCGATACCCTGGCCTTTCTTTAGAAACTGATCTGGTTTTCTCACGGGAACTTCGGCATAGCCAAAGGTTCGGCACAACTGCGGTATTTTCATTTCTTGTAACTGCTTTTCTAATTTTGATTGGTATCTGCAAAGCAAAGGGCCATTGAAAGCTCAATACATCGGGAATATTGCGTGCGTACTTTACGTTGCATTGTATGCAATGAACAACTCAATATGTTATTCAAAGATCTCTCTTGAATGCGTCGAGAATTGCGACAAATCGGCCGGTAACTGTGTGACAATAGCACATCACGCGGGAATGGCAAGCTGCATATAAATCAACTTCAAAGAGCGAGGTTCTCCGTTTGCCCCGTGTGTATGCATATTTATACATGAGTATGCATTTATTTATTTATTCATTGCACCGCATGCTATAAAATATAGATAATAACATCGTATCAAACCAAAACACTGCATGTTGCAGTATGGTGTTTTGTAATTTCGTAACAGGTTACGTAAAATAGTTGTTTGTAATGCCAGGCTGCTTTTTGAACCAGCGAGTGGTTCCAAAATAGAATCGTGAGCGTAGCGAGGGCTTCATGCCACGAGATGCGAAACAACTTTGCTGCCGAGCGAAACACACAACTTTTCACCTAAAATGGTAGATGAACGAAAAACGGTCGAACTATAACAAATCAGTTTTATTCATTAATATCTACATGGTTATTGTTGTCAATTTCATGTCAACAATAATAAGAATAAAATAAACCTATGGATTTCGATTACGTAAATAATGTACGACAAATCGCGTAGTTGAACCGTGTCTTTATGTTTTTTTTTCGTCGAAAGAAAAAGTTAGGTGCTCCACTCACAGGCTATCGTCAAGTTCGAATTTCAAAAACCTTTTCCACGCTAGAATGAAAAAAACGCTTTTATGCGCAGATTTCTAATGAGAAAGAAAACCTGTCCTAACTAGTGAAGTGAAAAACAAATTTATTCGTTATGCAGCATTTTCTCAAAATAGGACTGTTTTTATATTACAGTGTATTGGTTTGACAGGGTTAGAGTATGTCTGAGTCTTTCTCAAAAAATACTGGTTGACACATTGACTTACAAATAAAAATTCAATGGTTTGACATTATGAAACGAACTTTGACTTCGTCATCATCACGAACATCATCATTTCAGCCGAAAGACACCCACTATTGAATATAGACCACAGAAAGATCGTCGTAGGCGTCACAACGCTGACCAAACTCATCGTGTAGCATCGCTCTAAATTTTGCAATTCTTTTGGCTATGTTGGTTGCTCTGGTTCTATTGCGATTTAAACTTTGAGCAGAGAAGAAACGATCATCTATGCAAGTTTATCGCATTTGCAAAACAAAGTTTGTCTAAGTGTAAACAATAAATTAATATGTAAACTCAAACGTAAGCAAACTTTGTTTTTTGAATACAAAAAACTTATAATTATTAATACAAAGATCGAACACTCAGAAAAAAATTCCTTTGATCCGGCCAGATTAGACCCGACGTCTTCTAGCTTACCGTACCAGACGCTATACCAACTAAGCAACGGAACGAACCAGCGGACCTCACGAATTTTTCTATGTGCTTGCGTCGTATCTTTGTATTTGGTTTTTTCAGCTACTTTTAGTCGTAGCGCCATCTATGAGAAATCTATGAAAGTTTTATCACCGAGTTAGATATCTTTACAGTTGCCAGCCCTGGCGAGAGAAGTCGCTATTCACTTCATTTTAATTTTTTATTGAATTGATATGAAATTATTTCACTAGTTTGTTACAATTATTAATACAAAGATCGAACTCTCAGAAAAAATTCCTTCGATCCGGCCTGATTTGACGCGACGTCTTCTAGCTTACCGTACCAGACGCTATACCAACTAAGCGCGACTACGCTTTACAAAAAACTTGCATAGCTCACCATCTTTGCTTAGTCGAAGTTAAAATTCGTTTTATAAATCTCAGCCTTTGAATATTTGGCTCGACCTGCATTATATAAAACATAGCTATCATCATGAACCAATAACACAAAAGGACCGCAATCTCCATACTACCCAGTGTTGCCAGACTTTTGTGAAATTAATTCGGTAATTTATGGACGCTAAGTACCCGACATTCATATTTCTCCAATTCCCCACACGTAGAAATAATACTCAAACCTCCAAATGAGTTGTTTTGAAACTCCATTGCCCACAGTATCACCAATCAAGTTTGTAATTCCCCAGACATTTTATTAACTAGCCTAAAACCGCTTTTTCCTATTTCAAAGAGCCTTAATATCGATGAGTCGCCGATCACTTTTTTAATCGCCACGCGAGATTTCGAAGAAGCCTGAATGGCGAAAAATCGCCTGATCTGGCTCCACTGATACGAACTCTGAAAAAGGTCAAAATTCCATCTTGTATCTAAATGACGCTGATCCATCGCCTGGAATTAGTTTATATTATGTAAATGGCCGTGGTTACCAATTAATTCATCTTTAGTACGAAATATAAGTACCCAGTTCTTTCCTTGTAATATTATTCACATATTGATCACGAACTAAGTTCAGAAACAATTCTGAACTTTTGACAAATATACACGTCTTAAGATGAAATTGTGTTACAAAGTAATTTATAATTTAACGCTTCCTAATACGGGTAGCGCTAATTCTAAATAAAAGAATAGCCGGTACTACCTATAAAAATCTGTGCAATACGCGCCATCTCGTTGATTTGTTTGTTATCACTAGAAATTAGAGTAGCTTTGATAATTTGCAGCATGTCAATGTAAAACCATCGATTATTAACCAGAAATAGTAACGAAATAAGGGCCGTCCATCCCTGGCGACTCATCAGTCAAATGGTACTGATATCAATTGTAAATATTAACTCTCGTTTCGCTGAAATCTGAAATTAGAAAGCTGAAATAGTACAGCGCCAACAACTGACCAGGGGGTCTACTGTGAGCTTATAACCAGCCAACCAAGTTCTATGCAATTCACTTGACGTGGTAAAACCGAATGGCTTAAATTCGTATCATGATCTACAAAGTTGAATGGGAATGGCATGACAGGATTATGAGTTTTACTTCCTGTGTGTACGTCAACGTATATTCCAAAAATATTCTGTATTTATTGTAAGAAAGATATTGGGGGGCTATTCCATTCGGTGGTGTTGGAAAAACAGCAAAAATCTAATTACAAAACAAACGGAATCACATTTCATTGGTAATTAAATGTTCGTCTATTATAGCAAAGCTCAATTTAACTGGTCGATTTGAAGTGAAACAATTGGCGACACCCGTCAATTGTTTCGAATTCGGGCTGGCCAATCGGAGCGCAGTTGTCACCGTAATGATATGGCAGAATAGTTTTCAAACAAATGAAACGACGTTTCATCTCTAGGTTATATACTCGACGTGTAAAACAAATTAAACTAGTTACGAAAACAGCTATTAGGTCCTCGTTGCGCCATCTGGTGTACCAAATGGTACTAAATACCTGGCTACGCTAGTCTTGTAACGCGGTTAGCAGTCCTCTCGAGTCATCGGTTCACGCTATCATTCAGCCTCGTGCTATAAAAAGTTAACTTCTGCTACACTATTTTTTTAAATTTATCTCAAAAGGCCTTGTTAGAACTGGAGATAGGTAAATAAATGCCACTTGAAATCAACAGCAACAAATGATATATATATATATATATACAGGGTTACTGGTTAAGTCGACCTATTCCCGTTAAGGGCGTGTAGTTTACATCATTTCTGACTGATTTGTCTCTGAAACACCCCATCCTAAACCTAACCGTTTTCGAGATATTTTAATTTAATTGATTATTATAAAAAATACCCGATTATCGGCTATTAGCTCAGCTGATTTGAAATTTATGACTCTTATTATTACTATTATTTGATTTTTACATGTAAAATAAGATGCTTTATGACCTCAATAAACAATATTGTATGTAAAATAAATAAATATGTCGTTGTAGACGATCAAAAGTTACAAAAACGACTAAAAAATTCGAAAGTTTATTTTTCTTTCAAGGATATCTAAAAAAAATATTATGGCGCCTATTTTGCAGATGTGCCTAAAAACAACTACATCTTATCAGCTATCCA